AATAATTTTGTAAAAAAAAGAAAAAGATAACATTTTGTGTAATGTAATACTAAAAAACTAAAATGATAACTCTACTTGTTTTTTTTAGTTCATTTTAGAAGGATTTTTACCATTTTAATTATTTTATTTTTCAACCAAGCAAACACAGAAGAAAGACTTGATAATAATAAATAAATAAAATAAGTATTATTCTGCTGAAAAAACATATGTAAGGGTAGAGAGGAAAAATATGTTTTCTTCTCATTATATGGAGAAAAAAGTTAAGAAGAAAATAGGCTATGAAACCCACTTCATTTTCTACCTGACTTTTCTTTTATCCCACTTTTCTTCCTTTTTCTAAACAAGAGAAAAACCTCTTCTGTTCTTATTTTTCTTTCTAGTTTTCTTTCCTTCGTTATTTTCTCTCCATTCAAACATAGCATAAAACTAATCCTTTCTCTAAAGCTCCTTTCCTTTTCCTTTCCCTCACCCTCAATTCACAGCCACGACTGTCGTCGAAAACTGGAAAAAAAAAAATCAAATATATAATTTAATCAAACCCAGAAATAAGATTCACAACAACAAAATTTGTCACGAGATGCAATCTTCCTCAGAATGTGCCCAATCTTCCTCGTCCCGTTCACGCACCGTTCAACGTCAATTGCTCCACTGAATCTGCACAAAGATGGAAAATCACCCAACCAAAATCACAAGCTAGCCCATCAAATACCCACCATAACATAAATCATGTTTGAAGATCCAATGTTGCAGAATCTTTGCACAAAACTTGATCATTGATCTTTATCATTGAGGAGAAAGTAGATGAGTAGCTGGAGAAACCAAATGAATCCGCAAAAAGAAAAATTTCCATTTATCTCCATACACCAGAATGCCGATGAGACAGGTTAGCGAGGCGATTTTGTCGCGTTTAAATGTTGAACTCGTCGACGAGAATCGGGTGAACATTTATCGCCGACTAGAATCTGTCTTACTCCCAAATAACTAGGCGAACACTCGTCGGTGAGAATCCGTCTTGGTCCCAAACAACCAGGTGAACGCTTATCGCCGGCGAGACTCCAACCTGCTCTCATTGTTACTGGCATCGGATTAGCCAAATCCAAAGTTATCGGGGCAGAAGACCTGACTGAAGGAACTAGATATGACATATTCCATGGCGTCAAGCTTGAGATCGACGAGTTCTCTCTCTCTCTGTGTTTCCTCTTCTTCGACAGCTTCTTTCTCATGCCTTCGGTCTCTCAGTCACTCTGAGTTCCTTTTCAGTTTCAGAGAAAGGGTGAATGAGGGAGAGAGGATTAGTTTCAAAGAAAGAGTGAAGGGGCGAGAGTGAAAGGGAGAGAGCACGAGGTAGGAAAATCAAAGCGCATGTGACTGCCACCTAAGGAATTAGAAGTCAAGCTAGATGATTTAACAGTCAAAATTAACATTAGTTGATGTTCAGGGCATATTTGCTACAAAGTCAAATTTTCAAGATATTAGGGTCAAAAAAAAAATTCTGATGTACACTTTTGGGATATTTTAGTATTTTATTCTTTTTTTAAATAAGGTATTCTTTCACACTTTATCTCATAGTATATTATTTTTGGGTAAAGCAAGAATATCCTAAATTTCATTGGATTTGAGATTAATCCTTTTAAGTAGAGCCGGTAATATGGGTTGAACCCGCGAGCTCAATCCACCAATCCGCCAACAAGTGGCGGGTTGGGTTGATAAAAATTAGGACCGTTTTAAAATGGAAGTTTTGAGCCCATAACCGTCAAGCCCAGACCCGCGACGGGCTAACCCACAGGGTTGGCAGGCCAACCCATTTAACCTTTTTTTTTTTGTTGCAAATTTTTCCCTTTGCCTCTCAGTCTCTACACTCTTGGCTAGGGGTGTTCATGGGACGGGACGGGACCGGGACGTCCCGCTTCCCCCTTTTTTTTTAAAAAAAAGAAGATACCATAATTTTTTATATGAATTTTTTTATGTTATAATACTTATTTTTTATTGGGCTTTTAAAGATAAAAACATTATAAAAAAATATTATGTAGAAAGCTTAATTAAATAGCATAAAAAAGGTGTAAAAATAATACTGTAAAAAAAATATCGTAAAAAAAACACTATATAATGACTTTATGAATTATTTTATTAAGGAAGGAGATTTTGTTGAGATAATACTACAACTTAAGAGCTACAAGTCACCATAAAAATAAGAGTTATTATTAATAAGTAAATTGAATAATCTAATAATAATTATTAATAAATAATTTTTAAAAGAAAAAAAATCCCGGGACGGGACGACCCCGTCCTGCGTCCCGTCCCATCCCGGTTACTGTTTCGTCCCGTCCCGTCCCGTCCCGAACTCACCGGGACCGGGACGGGATAAATTGAACACCCCTACTCTTGGCCTAGTCCACAGTGCAACAGTGAGCAGTCCATGTCCAATAGTCTAACGCGGCAACACCAACACGGTCCCAATTTCACATTTTGCTTGCGTGTCGCACTCCTCCCAGACCCAGTCTCCCAGTCGCCCCCGCCCAGTCCTAAGCCCCAAGCCCCAAGCCCCAAGCTCTCTGCTCTTTGTCTTTGCTTTGCGCCTTTGCCCTAACTCATGAGTGATGATTGAGCACTTGATAGTTGATACTTGATAGTGATTTGTGTAGTGACATTGTGTTTGTGACTTTGTGGTAGTGTTAATTTGGATTTATGTTTTAATTTGAAATGTTTGTTAAATTATTAAGAACATATCATGTTCATTTAATCATATGTTTAATATTTTGATATATTTGAAACTTGAAACTTGAAACTTTGGATGGGTTCCATGTTTTATTTATGATAATTTCTATTTGCATGTTTTATTTTAGGTATTTAGAAATTTGAGGCTTTGAGTAGGTTTTATTAAAAAAATGTATTAAAAAAAAAACAAAATTTGGCGGGTTGCGGGCCTAACCCACCAACCCACCCTCGCGGGCCGGGTTGAAAAAATTCCAACTCGTCAGAAAGCGGTCCTAAAAAGCTCAGCCCGCCAAACTTCAGGCCCGCCACGGGCCAACCCATAATCGGCGGGTTGGCCCATATTACCAGCTCTACTTTTAAGGCTAGATAGTTTTGTCTTTGAAACTTCCACCTCAACTATACTTCCCTTTCAATACAGCCAAAACTTATTTCTTAAAGATATCATCTTGCACCCTAATTTTATGACAAAAGCATGATTCATTTTACCTCTGCATAAATCTGCCCATGGGCCTCTCGTCTCCGTTGTCATTACACATTATTCATCCATCCTGGTTTGGCAGTCTGCCACGCTCCTATTGGCAAAGGCCACGAGATTTGAACCGGGGAGAAAAAAAGGCACTTTAACCACCAAATAATGTAAACAAGAGAATTTCCTTTTGTCCGGATATAGAATATTACCTCCATCCTACGTATAAAAACTAATTGACTAATTTAAATAGATTAAAAAAATAAATTAAATTAGTTATTTGTAATAAATAAGTGTTGTCTTTCCTAAAATATCCTTACTAATCAAGTATATTGATTAGATCTACTATTATTAGAAAGACTACATTGAAAAAAATACATAAATATAAGAATCAAAATGGATTGGGGTCTTATATTTAGGATTAAAATAAAAATCAAATGAGATCTTATATTAAGGATTAGAGGCAATACATTTTAAAAGAAATTTTTATCTATCTATGCATTTAATAAGTCAACAAAGATAACATTGAAAATGACTCATTAATTGTCTTACAAATGACTTCTATTTTGGAACAAATTTTTTTGTAATACTTAACTTGTAAATAAAAATAAAGTAGTTGGAGCAAATTTTTAAAAAAATATTACTACGTTACTTTCAATTCTAATTATAAAACTTTATTTGTAGACAGATCGTATTTTATATTCAGACATAAGTTACCTCTAGAGGACATCAATGTGGACGGGGGAGTATTTAATTTCTCGGATCCCTAGGGCTGGTGGATATATATATATATATATATATTTATATATATTATATTATATTTCTGTCCATTAATATGATAACTAGTTTAATTTTTAATTTGGTGTTAAATATAAGATTTCAAGTTATTTTATTTTTTATATTTATCTATTTTTTAAAAATAGTCTTATAATAGTTACACATATTGAATATTTTATTAAATAATAAAAATTTTATTAAATGATAGTTCTAACTAATATATATAATTAGTAAGAATAAATTAAAAAAAATATTTATTTATTATAAATAATTAATTTAATAAAAATTTTAATCTATTTAAATTACTCTTCCGGTTTTTAATATAAGACCTATTTAACTAATTTGATTAGATTAAGAAAGTTAGGTAAGTTAGTTAATTATAAGAAATGTAACATGTTTTTCTTAAAATACCATAATTATCTTTCTTAATACCTCATTTTCCTCTTCTACTTGATTATGATTGAGGAAGTATCTATAAGGATAATTTTTAAAAAATTAATAAATATAAAAATAATTTTTATATTTAGGACTAAAACTAACTCAATAATAAAGTATTATATTAGCGGAGGAGTAGTTAACTAACTAATTGTTTTATTACAGAACGAAGGAGGTAGTATCTTTATTTGCGTATCTCTCCTATATGTTCTCTTTATCTAGCCAATCCAAGTCCTGTCACTTGCCTATTTTGTTTACACTTTGCAGCATCAATCCTTATTCCCTCCAGGTGAAAAAAAAAAAAAAGGACCGTAAAAAGAGTTTAAAAGGTGCCATCCTGCTTCCAATTTTTTTTTGATATAAACCATCCGCTATCCAACCGCGCCTTTTCTGGGTCCCAGCCTCTTTGGGCCAGTTGTACCCGAGCGATCGACTAGTCCGGATTCGGGCCGGACGACAAGTAAAGCCCTCCCCGGTACCCTTTTTAACAAGTGAGGATTCGAACCCCCGCTCTGAAAGAGTAGAGACTCACCTCACTTGTGGCTTAACCAGTCACCACTAGACCAGGGTCCCTGCTTCCAATTTTAGTTTCCGCTGTGAGAGATCAGAATTCCAGGTATTCTCGTGCTTCTCGTGGGGTTTTCACCAGACTCTGAAAATTTTGAACTTTGAGATCCAACGTGTCGACTCGGTCATCGCTCAGAGAGAGAGGTTCCTCCGTCATGTACAGCGGCTCCAGTGACGGCGAAACCCATGAGGCCGCGCAGAGGAAAATTCCGCCGGCCTCGTCCATGTTGTGGGTCAGAAATTTACGTCGATTCATCGGATCCGGTGCTGGTCTTGGATCCGAAGCATTGATGGGTACGTACTGCTTCAAACCCTTGATTTGTAGTCTGTTTTGAGCGTTTTCTTCCATCTGTTTTTCTTTCGGGTTTGAGAGAAGAAATGTGTACTTCGAGGAATTTCAGTGGGTTGCCAATTATTGGAAGCATTGGCGTGATGGCGAAACATGAACTGGTGGTGGTGACTGCCAAGACACTCGCGTAATCTAGAGATTGTAAATTGCTTGTAATGACTCACTCTAAGGGAGATGAAAGAAGGAAAAGACAAACGGAAATGAAGAGAGACAGAACAGCAATTTAACATAAACCATGGGTGCTTCCTACGGTGCTGCAATAGATAGTAGCTGAGATGTTGAGGCTTAAGTGGCTCTGACAGGAACATTTTGGAACTGAGGCTGTGGCTGTGAGAGTAAAATGTTACTAATACACTGGATGAAGCGGGGCTATTTGGTGTATGATGCGTTGTGTTTTGATTACAATGCTTTAGTGTTGTCCATGTACCACAGTGCTCCATTAAGAAGTCTGGGAAAATAATGTATTTTTAATTTTATGAAGCCCTTTTTAGCTATGCGAGGGGTAATTTGCTGTATTCTGCTAATAAAATGGGCGTGGCCGAACCTGTTTGAATTAATTTCTTGATTTCTGGCTCACTTTACTTGTTGATGCCTGAAAGTGATTTCAGTTACTTCACACAACATGGATTTCTTAATTCTTAAGACGACAAAGTTGAAACTGTTGGATGCTAACAGTATGAGCTATAGCCTATATGACATGCATTTGAACAATATAGAATCTCTCTCAAGCTATTGCAATTTATCGTCTCGTCAGACCTGATTACATCATGGTATTATCTGCTCATTATTTCTTTTAACTTCTTATTTGCAGAGCTTGAAACAAAAAGGATTTTGCTTGACATTTTTAAAGAAAAGCAGAAGAAAAGTGCTGAAGCTGGTTCAATTCCAAGTTTCTATAAGAAGGCATGTGTCAGCATTGTTAATTAACAGTTCGTTTCTTCATACACATATATGAAGTGGTTGGATTTGTTATCTTCTTTTATTTTTCTTCCTCAATCTCTTAGCCATTAACAAGAATTTTATTCCTTCTAAGTAAAGCCTTTTCCCTTTAAAACTTGCATGGCACCATTCATGAGCGCATGAACACCCATTATTTATTATGTCTGCACTTTGATCTCTTCAGCATGCATATAAAGCAGTTGTCTGTAATGTAAATACTGATACACCTTGTCTTTGTCCAGAAACCTGAAGAGGGATCAATCAGTCATAGGGTACAGAGATTGGCAAAGTTTCGGTTTCTAAAGGTATAATCATCTCATCAGCTTATGTTTTTTAGTTGCATCAGCTTATGTATGTAACTTTTATCTCTTGATGATATTTCCCATGCTTTGCACAGAAACAATCAGATCTTTTGCTGAATGCTGATGACTTGGATGCAATGTGGGTCTGTTTGAGAGAAAATTGTGTGATTGATGACGCCACTGGTGCAGAAAAGGTCTGCCTCTTTGCCCTTTTTTTTTTTTCCCCTTTTACCATTGTCTAATATTGTTGTTGTGATACATCAAGTTCAACGGTAACTTGTCTTCTTGGTAATATGATAAATACTTAAATCTAAACGAAGGTCATCAAACTGGAGAGATTGAACCAAATTTGCCTGTCCCTTCTGAAATATTAAAAAGAAAGCACTTGGCTTCACAAAGAACTTGAAAAATTGAATATTTTTGGTCAAATTGTATGTTTTTCAATGATTTTCTGGCATACCCTAACCCCAAGAGTTCTTATGTTGTCTGCAACAAATTATTGTTTTCTTCTGAATCGGTGATATCTGATCTTAATGATCACATATTTGAAATATAAAATTCAGTTTTACTCAGTTATTCATCTAGCAAGTCTTATATTATCCTCTATGTTGTATATTTTGGACTATAACTTTTCAAGAACAGCTCAGCGATCTTCAAGCTCTTCTTTTTGTTCCCCCCCCTGGAATAACATAATAATTGATGCGTACTTTAATTTGTTTCTTATAGATGAATTATGAAGACTTTTGCCACATAGCCTCTGTATGCACAGAACAAATAGGTCCCAAATGCAGACGCTTTTTCAGTCCTTCAAACTTCATGAAGTTTGAGAAAGATGAGCAGGGAAGAATTGCCATCCTACCGTTCTACCTTTATGTGATGCGAACAGTAAGTCATTGTCAACTTGTACTAGATCACTGGGATTATGCTTAATTCTCCTGAGATTAAAGTTTTTAAGGATATGTTTCCGTGTTTTTCTTTCTCCATAACTATTTACTTTTAAAGTTTTATAGCTTTTTCTTCTACTCAGAAGAATCCATTTTTCATTTATGATAGTAACTTATGGGTTATTGTTATGCAGGTTTCTCTTACACAGGCAAGAATTGACATGAGTGAGCTTGATGAGGATTCTGATGGTTTCCTTCAGCCACATGTATGGGTTCTTATTGTTAAGAGGCCTTGATTTTTAAAATTGAACAATATGTACGCTCTTTATTGTGTGCATTTATACAACCAATGGTTTTGAACTTTCACTGGACCAGCTACCTATAAAAAGTGGTTTCTTTTGGTTATGATTATCTAATCTATTTTGAAATTATGTTCCAACTTCCAAGAAACAATTTAGCATAGAGTCTCCTCTATTTTTGCTCTTTTTTTTTTTTTTGGTCCGCTCTTCCTTTTCTTTTATTTCAGAAATTTGAGATCTCTAAGCTTCTCACTTTTGCAGTGGTTAGAGTGCTCAATATTATGCAGTTGAGAGACCTAATTGGTCTAAAAATGCTTCATACGTAACTCTTATCATAATTAGAGTGCTCAGTATTATGCAGTTGAGAGACCTAATTGGTCTAAAAATGCATCATACATAACTCTATCATAATTAGGTTAACCTTGCTAAACTTTTGCTTTTCATTTCAGGAAATGGAATCCTATATAAGGGGTCTTATTCCAAACTTAGCACAATTACGTGATATGCCGGCAGCATTTGTGCAAATGTATTGTCGCATAGCTGCACACAAATTCTTCTTCTTTTGTGATCCTCATAGGCGAGGTTTGCATGGCTGATATCTTTCAGTTGCTAAGGCTTGTTGATATTTGATAGTCATTTTTGCTTGACATGGGCATCTTTTAAAAAAATAATAAAAGAGATCCTGGTTTTACTTTTGGAAAAGTAAATGAAAGTCTAACGAAATATTAACCAACAGAGTGTAGATCATGCTAATGGCAGCTTCTAGGAAAATAATTTAGTAGCAAATAAAAAAATGAATAGAAAACTAGTTTGGTCTATATTTTCATATATTGATGATTTCCTTTATCTTATTTTGTTTAATATTGCGGCAATGGTGATTTACTACTTATCAAGCTTTGAACATGAGGAATGAAAAATTGTCAGTTGCTGCATTCTACGATACAAGGTCTATGAAAAGGTGTTTTGTAGGTTTAGATAGATAAGGTGGAAAGTAAATGATGTCAGTTATGCCAGGCAGGGATGTTTTCGGTGCAGTAAATTTCCTGAAGTAAATGCTTCCTATGCAATTAGTACTATACTATCAATACTTCATTGGATCAAATATATTTTCTCATGTGCTCCTTTGATTGTTCAGTTTCCAATGTTTTGTGATTTTCTGTGTGTCCTCTAATTCAAAACATATTTGAATGACCATCTTTTACAGGAAAGGCCTGCATTAAGAAAGTATTGCTTAGTAATTGTCTCCAAGAACTGATGGAGCTTCACCAGGTAAAGTGTATAAAATAATTTTTTTTATATTATTCTTAGAACTAAACCTTAGTTCTTTTTATGTGCTTCCTTTTGTTCTGGTATTAATACGATTCTTTTTTGGGTAAAGGTGTTTGGGCTGTATTTGGTTCTAAACCCTTGTAAGCATTAATATGAAAATCTATATTTTGAATTTGCTATTATATATTTCAGGAAAGTGAAGAAGAAGTCCCAGACACAGAACAAGCGGAAAACTGGTTCTCTTTGACATCTGCTCAACGAATATGTGGTTGGTTTCTCTCATTGCTTTAGGTCCAGGATTACCTCTTATTCAGATTCAGATAATTTTGCCTGTTTGTGAGGCATTTGCATGAGTACTAGTGATGTTGAACAGGGGAGGAAAAGGGAGAGGGTGGAGGGAGAAATAGATTAGATATAGACGAGGGAGAAATAGATATAATAATTTTGAATATGCAATTTATTATGTCAAAAATAAGAGAATATCCTGAGGCTATCCATAGAGAGCCCCTAGCACAAAATCTCAAAGCAAAAGAAGTTGCTAATAGCATAAAAATTACAAAGATTCTAAATCTTATAAGGTCTCTTAGATCTAGAATAAATCTTTCCAAATTGCCCACTAAATCTTTTCAAATTTCCCATCAAATATTGAGGCTTAAATTACAAATTATATTTGGCCTACATAGTCTGACGTTTTTTTCCTGTGAGAAATGTGTTTGCATTGAATGTGATGAACGGCATCATGAATTGAAATTCTGATAAATATAATTATAGTCTAAACTACTGTCCATGGAGTTGTAATAATGTGTATCATCAATATTTCTGCAGATATGTTTCTTGCCCTTGATAAAGATGCGAATGGGACATTGAGCAAGCAGGAGCTTCGAGAATATGCTGATGGAACTTTGACTGAAATCTTTATCGAGAGAGGTAGAAATTAGCAAGTTGTGTTATGAATATTGAGGAGCCTTCTATTTGCATGCTCCTCGTTGAATAGCATTGATGTACTCATTTTGTCAGACCCCAAATTAAAATTGGAACTCGTTAGGCTTTGTCATATAAATATCATGTTCAGGTGAATATAGGTTTATGGGCCAGCTGAAGAAATAACAATCTGGAGTTCTGATATTTTACTCATCAGTCATTAAATTTATGGAGAGCCAGCTGTGTCCGATCTTTCTATTTTCGTTTGCGTGCGAATAGTTCTCTTTTGTGTAACTCGTGTGATTTTTCCTGTGTGGAAAACTTCACCTGCTATTGTTTACCCTTTTTGGGATCAGCTGTATTCTCAATTGTAGTTACTCATCGTTTTTTGAGGAAAAAAAATTAATTAATTTGCTTCTTGTAGTATTTGATGAACATGTTCGTCGCGGAAAGAGTGGTGGTGGTAATGCCCGGGAGATGGACTTCGAAAGTTTCTTGGATTTTGTCTTGGCTTTAGAGAACAAAGACACCCCAGAAGGCTTGACTTATTTGTTCCGATGTCTTGATCTTCAGGGCCGGGGTTACCTTACAACAGCTGATATTCACTCCCTTTTCAGGTGCATACTGTCACAGCTTCATTGTCTTCTCTAAGGATAATGCCTGTTTGCTTTATCCTATGCTCTTTGCCTCTATTTTTCTGTTTTTCTTCAGTTATTCTTGTTAGCCAATTTCTATATTCTGTGGTTACTAAATCCTACGCATAAAAATGAATGCGTAATCCAATTATGGAAGTAAAGAAGGGGAGCATTCAAAAGTCGGGGTGTTTCCTGATACAATCTTCCTATAGAAAAGAACTGTCATTTCCTGCTTGTAGTGCTTGAGAATGTCCTACAAGTCTCCGTTAGACAGGGACAAAATTTTTGTTATTGCCCGAACTTTATTGAAATCTTTATCATCTTAAATTCAAGTTGATCGGTATATTGATCTTTTCTATACTGTAAACGCAGAGATGTACACCAGAAATGGATAGAGGGCGGCAACTATGAACTCTGCATTGAAGATGTAAGAGATGAAATCTGGGACATGGTCAAGCCAGTAGATCCTCTTAAGATCACATTGGCTGATCTTCTGGCTTGCAAACAGGGTGGAACTGTAGCCAGTATGCTCATAGATGTGCGTGGCTTCTGGGCTCATGACAATAGAGAAAATCTTCTCCAGGAAGAAGAAGAACCAGAAGAAGAATAATATCGTACCTCTCCAGAACATGCTAACAGAAAACTGTTGCCTGATAATTTTCTTTGGATATGTGATTCTCACAAGATGCATCCCTTGGATCTGTTAGATCTGCGATTCGTTAGTTGTGTGTAGTGTATCTTGTATCTTAAGCTGATTTCAAAACATCAGTACTAGTGTATCTAGCCCTGTATTGAAACTAAACATCTTTGTTTGGCCTACTTTTTGTGATGATATAATGTGGAAATATCTTGTTCATCTATGTCAAGCAACGATGGATCTCCTCTTTAATCATTCCAGGGTTTAATTTACTGTTGTTACCCGCTAATTGATGAGTTTGACTTTGGCATTACAATATTCCTTTTTTTTCCCCCCCCGGGCGGAAAGCATGACAATAAATTAAGCTATGATTTTATAAAACCAAAAAAAAATTATTTTCTTTAATTCTTTAATAATTTAATTTGCACCCTTTTTTTCCTTTTCAAGTAATGGGAGGCAGGTTTTTGCTTTTTGTTTTCAGATTTCTGATTTCATTAAAATTTGACATCCACGATTAAAATTTGCTTAGTCCCCATCTTCTGATCTTCTGTTAAATGAGATTAATGGTGTGAAAATTCAATGACTAAAAATATATTTTTTTTAAAAAATTTAAGAACTAAAGTGAAACTTAATGTAAAATTTAAAGATCAAACATTTTTATCCTAAAATGAAAAAAATGAGGAGAAATGATTATAATATTTTTGCATTAAAATAACAAAAATTTGGATAACTGAAATAATAATATAATAAAAATTCCTGCCGTATAGTTTTTTCCCCCCAATACGCAACCCTTGCGAGGGCTGGTTAATTTTGAGGCTATAAATGCTTTCTCCAAATTAACCCAAGCCTGCGAGTTCATTCTGCGGGTTGCGTCTTCCTTCTGTCCGTGGTGCTGTGGGAATTGCTTCGTCAGACCAACCCCACCTCTTATCGACCATCGCTCAGATCTCGCTGCTCAATTAGCTTCTGCGGTATTTCCTTGTCGATGATCGGGTTAAGAGGTGGCGTTGGTCTGATGATGCAATTCGTGCAGGCATTTGCAAAGCGTTTAGCCTTGAATTCTGCTGCTAAGTCATTCTTTTTTATTTCCTAAATTCATGATCAACAGCACGAAGTAAACCGATTGAATTTAGTGTTTATACTTTCGCTGAATTGAAGCTAGTGTGAATTTTCAGGTTTCAAGTTAGTTTAGATCACCTGTTTCATTTGATGATATGGATCTTAAATTGTTAATTTGTTATACACAAGGATAGTTCCTCTAATGATGCTATCTATGTTCAGTTATTGGCTATACGGTCTCTTGGCCTGGAGGCCTTCATATCGCAGATGTGAAAGAAATAGGATACATGACATCTTATTAGAATTTATTAAAAATCATATTTTTAACATTCTTAAACATCTCATGCTTCTACCAGTGATGCTTAGGAGTTTATTGATGAGATTCAAACAGTGTTTAGGTATCGACGAAAAGTCTTAAGGTAAGTTTCAGTGATCTATCTGAGGTATTTTGTATACTGAGCCGTTTCATGCTTTTATAAGCTAAATGATAAGGTTCTGAAGATGATATTCGCACCATGGTTTGACTTTGTGAAGATATTTTGAGGTATGAAGGAATTTTATGATAGCCCTTTATCGGAAATGTTTAAAAGGGACTCTCGTTATTCATCCACCCACGGCAACATAAGAAACCAGAAGTGACTCTAGTTTATATTTCAGAATCCCCATCAAAACTCCCAACAGCTTCGACTTCTGAAAGTGATGACATGAGTTTTCTTTGGTCATTGCGGCTAGCAGTAAAAGATTTTGTTCTCCATTAGTAGCGTCACCCGTCATATTTAAATGAGTTCTCATGTCAGCGCATTTACTTGATCCACTGCATTTACCTTCAAACAACTGAGGCTTCTACATTTGCTGAATTTTCACTTTTCAACGAACCTCCCTCGTCTTGTTGCTTCTTAAATCTGTTAACCCAAACTACAAGCTTCTCCAACACGCTCGTTAATTTGCGGTAAATCCATGAATCCCCACAATCCCATATATATAAATATATATGTATGTATCCGTTCAAAATTATAAAATATTTTTAAGTACATTCTAGTCTTCTACCCCTAAGCACCTGTTAAATAGGGTAAATTAATCACAAACAAGTATGATAGTCTCATTGAAACAGTAAGATGTCTTATATTTTTAAATGTAGAAAAAGTAGAAAAATGCCTATAGTTTTGATACTTTTAAACGGAGGGAGTGTGTGCGGCCGTGCGCATCAAGAAGGCTTCAGGGAACTATTACCCAAAAAACAAAAAAAAAAAAGAAGGCTTCAGGGAACTGACTCTACATTTGAAAATAAATGTGTCCATCGAACTGATCGCAGGGACATTATCTTTCAAGAACGGGCAGTAAATGTGCCTCATAAATTTACATGGATTGATTGACGCACACCGGAAATTGTTTTTAGCCCGGGTCCTTAGTGCTGTTACAAAGGGGTTAACAGTTCAATATCAGTATATTGTAACTGAAATATCTTATAATTAAGGCCGCCATTCTCTTAAAGTCCTTTCTACATCTTTTTGGTCACTGTTATCACAAGCAAATATCTCAGATTGCAAAACCAGCGTGGTCTTCAGTTTATCCCATAGTTTCACTGGAACCGCGGAGCTAACAAGGCCATTTCTAGCTCACATGTAACAGCCATTCCTTTATGTCCTCATATCCTATTTGAAGACACGGGGGAAAGGAAAAGGGGAAAAACACGCATAAACTATAATTGAGGCGTTTAAGAGTCAAGTATTTTAGATAAACATCTAAAAAGTGTCAAATCCCACCCTGGCGTTCTGAGGTGGGAAATTGATGAAAGGCTTCCTTTGCTTTTTAGTTTCCAATGTAATTTCTCTTGATTAATATATTTCAGGCTTTATAAACACCCCCCCCCCCCCAAAAAAAAAACGCATTACGAGTTCAGATGCGTAAAGATATACTAAGTTAAGAACAGTTTAAGAGCTAAGCTTCCATCTGTTTGAAATTCTGAGAAAATGCGCCACCAGCCTACTGTCATAACTTGTTTCTGCAGGATCTTCATGTAAAGCTATTCTGTTCGATTATTTAGGTGATCAGCTTGAAACTGTCTTACGAGCAGTAAGGATTGTTGATAGAGATTGAGATCAATTCCATCAATATTTCTACCAACACGTGCCTGCAAAACTCCCTAATGAGGAACAAATAAGACCAAAGTTAATCATCTTCTCGTTTGCACAAAAGTGTGCTCATAAACCATACCATGCGCCCAAGTGTGAATGCTAGAGCCAGATGAAGCAGAAATTCAACCACATCTTGACAGGAGCATACCTTGTTATCGGGTTGGATGAGGAGCTCACCAATGAATTGGTAGACAGAGCCAACTCGGAAGCTAAGGTCCCTCAGGTGCTGAGTATTAACTTTGAGAGTGGCATCACCGTCAATTACTGTTGCTAGGGCAGTCTCTACAGAGTATTCATGAAGCCTGGGAGAGACGGGAGATTAAGCCATCAATAATTTCATCATACAGCAATATAAGATTATATTAGCACCATGTATGATGCAATAAACAGCAACCTGTATGATCAGCGAATTTTGAGGTTTAAAATATCAGTAAACTTTGCAAGAAATATCGGATTGTTACAAGTTATTATATATGTTGATATTATATCCACATCTCATTACATGCTATCACATGGAGTTAATGGGCGTTTTCTGTTACAAAGTATCCTATGTGTTGACTTAATGGCATGTAATCTTGTGCTTCCACTTCTGATGCCCATATTTATATGTGTTTCTCAGCAAATCAGCCATAGAAACAAAAGAAGAAGAGAACGAAGCATAAGGATTCCTCTACACTTTGACAAGGAAGACCAAAGAAGATATGTACTAGGGTATTCAAGGAGTGTCAGATAAACACGGGGAATATTAGCACGATTTGATATAAATCATAATCAATATATTGGTAAAAGAAACTTGCAACCATTAGAAAAGTCAAAAGCACACATGATTTTTAAGTGAAAAAGTCACGAATGCATTGTTATTAGATGGAAGCAGTCTTACTTTCCAACAATTCTTAGTGAAGCTCCTTCCTTGAAAAACGGAGATGATGGTCGTAGCTCTTGGAGAGAAACTAATGCTCCAGATTTTATTTCAGATAACGCCATTGAGCTACACTTGTTGCCTTACAAGCTTCCCAGTCCTTCCTCCACTTTTTCAGAAACCTATGCATATGTAACGACATTCCACAAAGCATAAATCCATGGTAATAGCTTGGATTTCAATCCTATAAAGTGCACAATAAACTTAGGTAACGTCTGAGCAAATAACCATTAATGAGAAGACTAAAGAAATTAATTTTCACAGATTCACGTATAATTATCAGCCTATTCTTTATCGAAACTTTAACTGTTGATCTCATTTTGTTGACTGCCTGTATTTTTCACCATAAAGAGGATGGTGAACTTCATAGAAGCAATCTTAATAGTTAACCAGTACTACCATGTTTTCCATTTCACACACACATGCATACACCAATGCATTGCAGCTCGACATCAGCATTTACCCATCTGAATCCTCTTCGGCTAGACTACAAATTGAAAATATTTTTTGGCCTGCGAATAATTTCTGTTATATTTTCTCATGAAAAGACAACATCCAACGGGAAGAAAAAAATCAAAGTTATCTAAGTTTTACTTGAAACACCTTGAGCATTCGACTGGTCCTTGTGTCTCCAAAATCCAATCCCTTATATCTACTTCATACCCGATAATATTTTATGAAGGAGAGAAACGAAGAGGCAAAGGAGGGAAAGCAGGAAGCATAGGAAAGTAATATAAGAAATGAGAGGCAGAAAAGATACCGGGAACTCTAGAAACACAGATTCCCGTGATGGAATCTTAGCTATGGAATCTGCGGTGTGCGCCGGCAGCCGGAGAGTGAAGCGAGGAAATAAACCATGCGCGGAAAGAGATGGATTTGGGCATATTGGTCCTTACACATTGGTTATTTTTAATTTTTGGTGAAGATTAAAATTTCAGTCATTATAGTTCAACTCTTCTTTTCTTTTTCTTTTTCCTTTTTTTTTTTTTGCCATCAGTTCAGCTTTTTCCATCAGTTCAGCTTTTTCTCTACATTTGGTCTTTACACATTTGATTATATTCCTAGTTTACTCCCTCGCAGCGTTATAAAACACCTCTATTTAGATTTTATTTTGCACCCTTTCTCTATTTGGTCTGTTTGTACATTTTATTTTAATTAACTGCAATGATACTGCCATTCGGTTTCCTACAGTCTGAATCCGGCTAATATTTGACTAGGAGCCAAGGCAATACAAGTTCCTACTGTTTCAGGACAAAATAATGGAAAAGTTGATTGCCAAGAAGCTCCCTTTAAGAAAGAAAAGAAAAGAGAAGAAAAACTGCCAAGTGGCCTTACAATTTTACGATCGAAGAGGAAATTATCAACGAAACTGACCCAGAGATAATAAAAACGATTCATTAAATTATATCACAAACGGTGCCACAAATCCATTGATCATGTACAGTAGTTCAAGGCTTAGATCCTCATTAAACAACAAAAATCACCACAGCAACAATTGTCAATGTACCAAACGTATTAGTTCCTGCTGATCTAATTCAGGGGACGCGTAAATGATCCAATATCTCTTATCTCATGCAGCAAAGTGCACTTATGAAGCCTGAGGAAAGGAGACAATACGCGGCCCAAGAAAAAGGCGCCCGTGAAAAGGAGGATTACAAAGAGCTGAAGAGTGAAGACACGGTCGATCTTGAGACTAGAAGCCAGCTTCGAAGTAACTGAGACAGATTGGATCCACGACCTCCGATTTCCATCCAACTGGAATTCTCAGGCAAATGCCAATGAAATGCATCTTAAAAAGCAGGAATCGGCTGGGTAGAAGTACAAGCAGATTCCTATTTTGGCATGATCTCTGGAAGACTATGTCACCACAATTTCCATCCTCCCACACTGATAGATGAATAGTAGTAGAGGCATTCTCTCCTCACTCACTCCAGGTCTCTATATTCAACCACAGCATCATATGTTTCAATATTGTAGCAACTCTCAGCATAACACCTGGTAAGCAATTTTATTTTATTTTTTTTTGAAAAAATAAGTAATCAAACGACGATTATATCTTAGATTGGATTATATTATGGATTTATGAGAAGAACTAAGCAGTAAGCACCTTAATTCATGCCAAAAGATCCTAGCTTTATCTTGCAGGAAAGGACGCAGTGGTGATATAAACCTCTCTTCAACATCAAGCTGTCCAGAACTAACTCTCTCTTCCAGCCATGCAAGGTACTGTGAGGTTGCCACATGAACTATAACAGTTGGATCTGGGTCGCCAAGCACAGCTTGTAGCTCCCTCCGTATCCATGGCTCAATCTTTTGTAATGTTTTTTCTCTTGAAAAACTATTTTTTGATTTAATCTGAAAATTGCATTATTAAAGACTAAAACATTAATGTTAAAGAGAAGAGAAATAATTGAGAATGCTTGGTTTAATAATACGAAAGTTAAGCCTTTGCCCAAGACAAACTCTTTTAACTAGGGAACGTAATCATATTTCATGTGGAGGCAAAAGTGGAAATATAAGGTGCAATAGATGGAAGAGGAAGAAAAGCCAGCAAATGAACAAATCCATTGGGGGGAAAAAAAATCTGATATTCTAATTACAACACAGAAAGACACTTCAACATGTAAAATATAAACTGCCAAAGGAGTTTCTGTAACTGACGAGAGAGAAGCATTCATAAAGTTGCAATAATGGTGAATATAAAAGTGAAAGAACAACCCAATGTTCATTATATTTCCACTAAACATGCCTGCTCAAGATAGCTAGAGCTTAAAGGAACAGCCTTCAGATGCTTCTTGTATATGCTGCAAGTAAAAACAATTAATGAATGAAAAGAATTACATTAGCAAAACTTTGGAGTCAAGTTATTGACAGAGGCAAAAAGGAGACAGTAACTGAAAATATATAGGATTGCAGAATCATAGATTTATAATGACCAAGTCTACGCACCTAGCACGCCAATCAAGTTTCCTCTGAGCAGCAACTTCTGGACTCGCATGTCCAGGACGTCCAAATGATCGCCGCCATGGCAGTGCCCTAGTTCGCCTTTCATCTAAAGCAACTCTTGTTCTACAAATAAGTCTGCACATGATCACATAAAACATATTGAAACGCGTGTTCTAAGCTTCAAGCCTTTTTTCACCAGGCAAAAAAGGTCACCGAAACAAGATAACTGGTACCACCAAACACATTCGTCAGCTCCAGTTTGTTCAATTTCAGTGATGTCGCCATACAGATAATCTCACACAACGTATTCATTGATTCCATTCAATGAAGATAAAAGCAAAAATCTAGAACATGCTACCTACCAAATTTAATAATTAACCTCTATAAAGGGACCTTGTTTTCCTTAAGAAGCAATCCAAAAGATTAGGAATAAAAATTAACCCAAAAAGAAAAAAAAACTTTCTGTCCCTCTTATTAACTTCCTCGACAGCCAAACGGGGAGGAAAATACCAGCCAGAAGAATCAGATCATAAAAAACAAAGTTAGTGCAAGAAGAATGAACTCACCTAGGAGCAGCTGTACGGGCTGAGACACTTTCTCGATGAGAATTGCTGGTCAAACCCTCAAAGGGCAACACCTCTTTCTGGAACTCTCCAGAGGAAAGACTGAGTTTACAGAACCAGGAGCTGAAGTTTGCATTACAGAGAGGACACTTTCTTTTCAAGCCACTCCATTTGCGAATACATTCGATGCAGTAGGCGTGCATGCACACGGAGAGAATCGCAACTTCCTTATAATGATCTTCGAGGTTTCTGAAACATATCGGACAAGAATGCCCCCGAATTGAAGACCAAATTGCTTCCCTCACCATCTCCTCCTGCTTCCTCCTCCGCCGTCTTGTTCGCTGGCGATGTGATTCCATGACAGAACTATAACTCATCCCCGTTCACCGAAGAAATCAGAAACTTCGATCTCCGGAGTCGGAGGCGGTTCAGTGGCCCAGAAGGGGGACCGGTGGAGGCGGTTCCGTGTCCCGACTTCGCAGCGGTCAGAGCAGTTGGGCTCCCTCTGACGACATCGACGTTCGTTGCTCGAGGCTTATAAACCGATAGGCCCAGTTTTTTTTTAAAAAAAGAAAAAGAAAAGAGACCAAATAAGACAAGACAATAGGCTGTACCAAAAAAAAAACAAAAGGAAAGACAAGACAATAGGCCCAAGGTTTTTTCCATCTGTCCGTGAGAAAAAGATGCCATCAGGACTATCCAAATAGAAAAATGTTATTTTTATGGGGGAGAGATAAATGATAAACGATGTTTTTTCAATATAAGCCATCTGATCAAATTTATTATACAAGTGAATAATTATTTATTTTATTAAACATATGTATCTACTTATTAAAAGTTTTATGAAAGACTAATATTTCATTATATACCTATTAGTACATAAGTTATAATTTTATTTGACATGTTCTATAGATATTTTATTATGAAAAAATTGTAAATAAAGACCCTCAATATGTAAAATTGTGATTTAGAACCCTTAATTTGAAAAATATCAAATAAAGACTAGGTCTCATGTTACAAATATGAAATCTTAATGAAATATCTTAAATGTTCCTTAGCCAAATTGTGATTTGATTTACTGAAATTATTATTTGTTAAAGTGAACTTGTCATTTCCCATAATCAACTTATCATTTGACATACCCTCAGTCAAGTTGTGATTTTATCTATTGAAGTTGTCATTTGCTAAAGTAAATTTGTCATTTTCTGTAGTTAACTTATAATTTCGCTGAAGGGCATTTCAGATATTTCACCTATATTTTATATTTGTAATTTGGGATCGGGTCCTCTGAAACTATTTTCCAAATTCAAGATCTCAATCATAATTTTACATATTAGAGGGTCTTTATTTGCAATTTTTTCTATTATTCTTCTTAGAAAGCATGTTTATGATAATTTTTTTTATATATTATTATTTTCTTAAAAAGAATTATATATATTAAATCGTTGAAAATTTATTAAATTTTAAGATAAAATTAATAAAATTCAAAATTTTTCTTCATTCTGGATGAAACAATTGAAATTGGTTTCCGAGCGGAGAAGTATATCAATGTATCATTTTGATTAACATTGTAAGCAAACAGGTTAATTTAATTTAATTGTTGGAAAAAAAAAAGGTTAATTTAATTTAATTATTACTATAGCTTGCTGCAACCGAACGGACAAACGAGGTGAGGTTTTAAAAAAGCAGCGCGTCAGGTTACCCTTGGTTTTCATACAAGTCTCAGTAAGAAGCACTCAATCTTTATGCTCCCAGCTATTAATCATGGAAGTTCCGAAGGATCAAATCGCCACCCTTCTCGAGAATGGCCTCTACGACTCTGCTCAAATGCTCGTAATTTCCGATTCTGCATCTGCAATTATGTTATGAATTAAAGAATTGCTGCTTTTCATTTCGGTGACAGTTTAATACTGAAGTTGCATCTGGACAGGGTTGTTTTCTTGTTTCGTCACCCACTGTTAATGCTGAAACCAACCTACACCTCAAAGCCGAGAGCCAGGTCTCTGGAGATTTCATTTTTTTTTTCATATTTTCCTTTCTGTCTATTTTTGTTTTCATTGCATTGCGATGAAATTTCCCGTCTCCAAGAGGTTGTTGAAGTTGGCACTTTTCTTCTTTTGCAGGCGCTTCTTGGTGATTCGTTGTTCCGCGAAAGGGAGTATCGCAGAGCCATTGTAAGTGATCCCTCCCTCCTAAAATTGGGGTGTGTATTTTAGTATTGAAGTCTCTTAATCTCTTCTGTTGCTGAGCAGCACAACTACAAGCAAGCTCTGCAATACTACAAGATGATCCCCAAACAAAACACTCCCTCATCCCGGAGTTCACTGTCATCAAACAGGTCGTCTTCTCCAAATTCTTACAATGTATCAGCAATCAATGAAAATGAGGTGAGTAATTTACTTCCCTTTGATTTTAGTTGATCGTAGTTGGAGTGCATTTATAAAAACTTTTAAAATGTCCTATGTCCAAATTAATTTTGCCCCTTTTTCACTATCGATGTAATAGGTGAAGTTCAAAATCGCATCATGCCATTATTCCCTGAATGAAAATAAGGCAGCTCTTGTGGAGGTTTGTATGTTCTCCTCCTATCTTCCATTCTACTTGGGAAGGGATTCAAGATGACGATGAAATGCTGTAAATGATGTTGCTTTGTATATATGTTCACTTATAAGGCGCACTTTATAATGGGAAAAATGCTATGCCATTATGAGTTATAATTTTTAATACATTCTTATTTTGTTGCTATTTCATTCATATTTCACTAATTATTGTCACTTGCATATTACAGATGGAAGGAATTCCAAGCAAAGCCAGAAATTTGCAGATGAATTTGTTAATGGCAAAGCTTTATAGAAATTCTAGACATAATCGAGCTGCTGTTGCAATTTACAAAGAATGTCTAAGGTTTGTCAAGCGAAATTCTCTTGACCAAATTAATTGCTTGTTTAATTTTTTGATAGTACCAAATACATCATGAACTCATGGAACTGACTTGTAATTTTTTAGTTCTTCCTACTTGCACGTGATTTCTTTTATAGATAGGGTATGATATTATTGGCTTTAAAATCAAACTTGATGAATTTCTTTCTGGCAGGCATTGTCCTTTCATAATTGAGGCAATCACAGCTTTAGCAGAACTGGGATCGACTGCAAAGGATATTATTTCTTTGTTTCCTCAGGTTTGTTGATAGAATCAGAACCAAATTAATGTAGCTTGGTCCCCCAGGGAGCTAAGGATTCATTTAATAACTGTGTCTCTTCCTCTTCTTAAGTCATTTGGGTACTCAGCAACGGAGAACTATCTTTACAAGCGTAGGGTTTAGCTGGTATTCCTAGGAAGGAGATGGGGAAGATATAAGATATAAGCCCCTTCTATAATGAAAGTTATTCTTTACTTTGTTTTGAGGAATTCAGGCTTGCTTTTAAACTGCTGGAAAAGGAATAAAACAGGCTGATAATCTGAGTTTGTGAATGTTTTGAATCCTTTTTATTTTCTGTTTAAGTGTTGCATATTATCAGTGGAATATTGTTCTTGCTTCATGTTCAGCTTTACAGATTTGTTAATTTAGTAATATATTGCATTGCTCTCTGTTTCCACTTAATAACTGCGTAATATACTGCATTTTCCTCATATAATTTGATCAGTCTATTTCCTTTATGATTGTGAAGTTATAAATTTGATCTCTTCCCTCAATGTAAACTTCTCTTCCTATATATATGCTAGTCGATTTGGTGAAAGAGGGAAGTACTGGAAGTAATTTTTATCATTTGAGTTACTAGTTGGTGAGGATTCTGAAATGATCTGTCCCTTTAAAATACCTCAATGAGCTTGTAAAGTTCATTCTTTAGAATTTCTTATATAGATAACTTGTATAATATTAGCATTTATCTGTTGTCTTGTTCAACCTTTTATATTTTAGTGAATAAATAATACTCCTCCAGTCTTTGATATAGGCCCTAATTTGAAAAATGATGTGAGTTCTATATGTAAAACCTATTTTACATGTTTATCAATTTTTTCTCAAATTAACCCTATTCATATTCCTTTAGCAATAATCAAGTAGGAGAGGGATGGAGGGAATTAAAGAAGATAGTTAGAGTATTTTAGAAAAAACATATCATATTAACTAATTTAACTAATATTCTTAATCTATTCAAATTAGTTAATTAGGTCTTACACTAAAGACCGGAGGAGTAATTCATATATTCTCCAATGTTGTAATGTAATTGATGTCTATTCATTTGATGTCAGAATCCACATAGAAGTGGGAGAGCTCAATATGATCATTTTGAATCATGTCGTTGGCTTCAGGTAAGTTGTGCATAAGATGGTAAAGATTTTTCATTTCCACTTTTCACCTAATTAAACGTTGTCGCTTAGTAACAGGTTTTAATTTTTTCTACCATTATATTACAAGTCTTCTACATCAATTCTAATTTGCATGGTTAATAAATTCCATGAAATCCTCCAGAAGTAATTCTAGCTGAATTCATACAGACTGAATTGTAGAATGTATTAAGCTGAACATGTCGATCTCACAAACAGCACATCAAGATGAACAAAAAACACCAACGTAGAGATCACAAATCAGCTACAGCAACACATCACTTAAAACAACTCAGCAGCATAGAAAGTTGAAAGAACTGAATCCAGTGGACACTAGGCAGATACTAACATTGGAGAAGCCCGTACTCTCCCACAGATTCCTCTATTTTTGTTTACCCTCTCTTCCCTATGGCTACTTCCCTTCTCCAATCACTCACCACCTCGAGTTAACGAGGCAGCCATTATCTTGAATTTCTCTCTTCCTCATTCCCCCTTCCACATTTTGTAACTCTTCTAGTATATATTATTTGTTCTCCAACAGATCCATCCTATCTCTTTCTTTCATTCTTCATCATGCTTCTCCTTCTGTAGGTTTTAACATGTCTGCGAGCTGTAGGCCCATGGGAATGTGGACCTATATGACAGTTTTATTGTCTGACGATAATGACTAACCATAGAAGTAGGCTAATAAAACAAAATTGTAGTCTGATGTTGCAGTCACACTTGTTTCTCTCTTAAATGCAACATTGTCTATAAATCTGATATAGAGTTTCCTCTTTCCATGTAGCGCTATGTTGAGGCTCAGTGTTGCATGGCTTCAAATGACTACAAAGGTGAGTTATTACATTTTATATGGAGTCTCTTAATTCCATGCTTTTTGGCCCAAGAAGCTAAAAGGATATAATAACTAGTGAAATTTGTGTGGTCTAAGGGCATAGTGGGCTTTCTTGTGCAGAGAGATTACAACAATTATTTTATAATCTGCCACCACAATTTGTTCTTTGTTGATGTCAATGTATGTGCTGTCTTTTCTTCCTGATAGCCTTGAAATGAGTACAGCTATGTAGATTTGATATTCTGCATGCAAATTTTCGTTGTGGCATTAGAGAGGGTCACTTCCTATCCTACTTTAGACTACCAGGAAAAAAAAAGAAAAAGATGGGATATGGTTTTGATGAAACACTAAATAAACAAACAAATGCTGATGTGAATTGATGTGTCAAGTTAATTATTATTTACGTGACCTGCTTATATACTTCAATTCTGTACAAAATCTGAACTGAAGAAAGATACTGTCAGTGAAATTTGTTTATACTATCTTCTGAGGTGTTTGATACACAGTTTTATCTGTTCTCAATTTTGGCAGGTGGCTTGGAACTATTTGAGGACCTCTTGCAACGTTTCCCTAATAATATACACTTGCTACTTGAGATTGCAAAGGTTATAATTCTTACACGTTAAACCCTGTGAAAAATTCCTGAAAGTTAAGGTTGTTGCTTCATGTGCATTGGCAGCTTAATTGCAAATATCTATCTTTTTCAGGAATCAAAGGTTTTTTATTTGTTAAGTTGACGAGTGTAACTATGTTATTTAAATATATGTGCTGACACTTTTATCTTTTTCACGATCTTGTTCTAGATGGTCTAATTTCCTAGTTTCTTTAGACAGTTGGTTGCTGTCTTATTTTTCTACTTGTTTCTAGGGAAACTCTTCGAGATATGTCTTTAGAATATAGATAAGCATTTTCACAAGTTGTCCGACTGCTGATGACAGTATATCCCCCTTACTATATCTTGTGTACATGTAGTTCCTTGAATTGATCACTTGGCTTTCTGTTATGATTCTGATGTATAATGTAAACTTGCAATGAAGGTTGAGGCTATAATTGGCAAGAATGAGGAAGCCATTATGAATTTTGAGAAGGTATGTGGAGTTGTTCATGATGTTGTTAAAACATCATCATTGAACTTTCTCTTCTGACCGACCTATGCTATATATTCATTCAATGCTCATGATAATTCGGTGATAATAGGCTCGGTCAATTGATCCATATATTATAACATATATGGATGAGTATGCAATGCTTTTGAAGTTGAAGTCTGATCATTCAAAGCTGAACAAGTTAGTGCATGATTTGTTAAATATTGATCCTGCAAGACCAGAGGTTTTTGTAGCTCTATCTGTTCTATGGGAAAGGAAAGATGAGAGAAGAGCACTTTCTTATGCCGAGCAGGTTATAATTTATTTGTACTCCCCCCCCCCCCCTGAAGTAGGGTGGACTGAATTCCTTTATTATAGTATTGATTACAATATGAGTGATTATTTTGCAGAGTATTCGAATCAATGAAAGGCACATACCTGGATATATAATGAAGGTATAAATATAACCATTGTATTGGATGTAATGTGGGTTTATCTGATTAATGCGTGTTTGAAGCATCTTCTTACGTTATTTTGCAACCTAAGCTGACATGTTTATTTTACTCAGGGAAATTTATTATTGACAATGAAACGGCCAGAAGCAGCCGTGGTTGCCTTTAGGGGTGCTCAAGAATTGAGACCTGACATTCGCTCATATCAAGGTTTATTTTATCATGGAAACATTGATTGTTGCATGATCTGTATCTTGTATCCGCAAGAGAATGGAAATCCTGAACTTGCCAATTCTGTCATGAATCTAAATTTTCAGGTTTGGTCCATACTTATCTGGCTCTCTCTAAAATCAAAGAGGCTTTATATGCTTCAAGAGAAGCAATGAAAGCAATGCCACAATCTGCAAAGGCTTTAAAACTAGTTGGTGATGTACACGCAAGTAATTCTACTGGCAGAGAAAAGGTAAACATGTGGGGATAAGTATCTTCAGAATACTTTTGTTTGTCAAGTTTTCTTATGTGTTAAATATAGTGCATGCTTTTTTAACAGAAAATAAAATGCTACTTCAAACAGGCAAAAAAGTTCTATGAGTCAGCATTGAGGCTGGAACCAGGTTACCTGGGAGCTGCCCTAGCTTTAGCTGAGCTCCATGTTATTGAAGGCCGGAATGGAGATGCTGTGTCTTTACTTGAGCGATATCTGAAAGATTGGGCTGATGACTCTCTTCATGTGAAACTGGCCCAAGTTTTTGCTGCTACTAACATGCTGCAGGACGCTTTGTTACATTATCAGGCTGCATTAAGGTTGATCTCTATCTGTGTCAATGTCTGCACAGTTTTTGGCATTTTCTATTGCAAGTGGTGTAGAGTAAATTATATTGACTTCCCCTTTTTTTCAGGAGTATGATACCCACCACCTGGCATTTGATATATTGAAAGAACCTAACTAGTTGCCTTCTGCCAATGTAGTTAGCTTTGTGCGCTAGACATTCTTTTCAAAGCATGAAAGCATTATTTCATCTCATTAAACATGCCAAAAGCGTTGATACTTTTTTCTTGCATTATTTATTGTCTTTATTGTATTTAGGATGCATGCTGCTTGTCTGTTAAGATGACGAAGCCAAAGTGGTGCTTAGTCAAGCTCCCACATGAAACTGATTTTATCATGAAAATAAGATAAATTGAGGAATTTCAAGAATGGAGGGAAAAATCTCATGCAGATAATTGACTTTACTGATAGGAAGTATATATGATGGGAGATTTTTCTGTTACATTTCATGAGCTGGGTTAGAAAAAGGTAGGGTATTGGGTACAATATACTTCATTGGTTATTGCTGTTTATTCTAATATTTTATAAAGCATAGGAAGCCACGCCCATTATATTCTGAACAGTGCAACTCATTCCTTAAACTCCATGCAAGGCATGGGAGGCCCACATTTCTTTATTCTATATTCTTTTTGACGTGTTTTTCAAGTGTAATGGAATAAAAAGAATGGTAAACTATGTTAGTCGGTTTTTTTATGAAAACATTGTGGCAATGGCGCATCTAGGACTAGAAGGAATTGGTTTGTCCAAGCTTCATATGTTGGGGACCACTTGATTTCTGATAACCATTAACAGTTACGGGTAAATAATGGAATATGGTTTGTATTTAGGCTCATCAGATCAAGACTAAGTTCTTTCCACGTTATAGAAAGGTTTCCCTCTTCGCAGGAATTGTTTCTATAATCATGTGCTCATGAATTTATTCTACTTCTAACTATTAGCAAGCATTGCAGGTTAAACCAGCAGAATGAAGCAGCAAAACGGGGGTTAGAGCGTTTAGAGAAGCAGATGAAGGTTTGCTTTCTATCACTAACAGACCAACTGTCTCTCATTTTTCTCCTATTCATGCACTTTTAACATTCTGCAATATGGCAGGGAGTGGACCCAGATGCACCTGAAGAAGATGATGACAATGATGTTGAAGATGCTGATGGAGACCAAGAAGAAACTGATCTGTTATAGAGCATTGGTGGCAAAATAATGTCTGATAATATGAATTATGAAGTGCTCCTGCTGGTAGTTTACCGTGACTATGGCATTAGCAGTAGGGTGAAAACTACCACGGTGGCCTAGAAGCTCCGTTTATATGTCTTTGTGCAGCAAGAGTTCACGTCAGGAAACTATGACTCTCTATCACTGCCAATTGGGCCACCTGATGATCATGCAGATTATGAATTTGGAATGAGGGGCATAGCGGATGAAATTGCTTGTCCAGAGGGAATCAGACTCGGGGGGAGGATCAAGTTCCAACCGGCAGGCCTTAGATGAATCTTAGCTGGTAGCTTTTGCAATCTCCATTGTACATTTTCTATGTTCATGCTTTCATCCTCGTAAGAGCCGTGCTTTAGTTAAAAATTTCTTGACACTTGACAGCCACCTTTGGTAAGGTTCTTTTTTCCCCCCCTGAAGGTAAAGTTCATTTGCAAAACATTTGTCCTTGCTTGTGTTTCAGGCTTGGCCTAATGGTTATGTTAAGGATGTCTGATTGAAGAGGTGGGAGGTCATTGCTCATCTATTTAATGGTTGTACTATCCTATAGATCTCGCTTTGACTCGTGTTGGAAGTTACTTCATTTTTATAATATATACTACCCCTAATTCTTAATATAATAATTAGTATGACAAATTTAGTCCTTAGTATAATATCCTAATTCATTGTCTTTTATATTTATTTATTTTTTGTAAAGTAGTCTATGTAATAGTTGCGCATATTAAATGTTTTATCATATGGTAATTCTAGCTAATACACATTATATTATAAATAACTAATTTAACAAACTTTCTTAATATATTTAAATTAGTCAAATAGCTCTTATATTAAAAATCGGAAATAACATCTTAGTCATATTTTTAAAAATGTGATACCACTAATTTGAAAATATTCAACTAATACTATGTTTAGATGGAAAGAAAATGAGGGGGGAAGGAAAAGTTGGAAGGAAAATAGGGGAAGAAGTGGTTTTTCTCCTGTTTGGATGATAAAAGAAGAGTGGGAGGAAAGAAAAGTTGGGAAGAAAATGAGGTGGGTCTCACATCTTATTTTCCTCCCAACTTTCCTCTTCATATATGGAGAAAAAATAAGAAGAAAACATATTTTTCCCCTCTATTATTACATATGTTTTTTTTCAGCAAAATGATACCTTTTTTTTTTTTACTTTATTTTTTATTATCAAGTCTTTCTTGTGTTTGTTTCATTGAAAAATAAAATAACTAAAATTGCAAAAGTCCTAAAATGAACTGAAAGGAAAAACAAATAGAGTTGTTATTTTGGTTTTTTAGCATTACATTACACAAAATATTTTTTTTTACAAAATTATTTGATGTTAAAATATAACAACATGATAATATGTCTTTATCAAATTATTTGATTTTAAATTATATGATTATATTAATATAAATATGGTTTTTCATTATGATATTTAATTTGATTTTAATCAAGATATATTTTGATATACCAAAAAAAGTATTTTAATTATTTATATATTTACTCATTTTCTTTTCTTTCTGTTTTCTCTTGTCTACCCAAACATAAAAAGTGATAATATTTTCTCTCCAATTTTCTTTCCTCTTAACTTTTCTTCCCATCCAAACAAAAAGTAACTTAATATTTGACATGCAGTACAAATCTCTTATTACTTTTTTTTTTTTGTCAAAGAAATCAATTTTAAAACTATTCAAACTTGCAAATTTTTTTAGCACATGAATAAGTTCATTTTATGAAACATTTTGCGCAAAAAAGCAATCCACTGAAACAGAAATTAAAAAAAAATACAATAAATAATGTGCGCACGCCCGCAGAAGGGAACAAAACTTTCAAATAGATAAACTACTAAGCTAATTTAATTAGGTGTCAAAAGAAATTACTCCAAGAATTCCGTCATTTATTCTCTAGAAAATCTAGCTGTATCGGATGTTGTGTTACCATCTCTGTCATCAACAAAATTCTTTTATAGATAACAATGAAATTCATTGTCCATCATCGCATATTGACATATATTAGGGCTGTGGCTGCTGAATTCACTAATCCAAATATGTACAAGCTGAACTTTCTTACAATTTCTTAAATCCATTGACATCTTTGGCCGCTCAAAACACCTCACTACACATGAAAAGGCTTCCTAGGGGTAGGTGCTCGATTTTCCACTGATTGCAATCTCTGTTTGAGATGAAAGACTTCAACCTGCATGGCAGACAAGAAGTGGCATCTTGAGCAGGGAAGAAAGTACATGAATAGTCATATCAATCATGCGAATTGTTGGAACATGTATATTCATCTGTCAATTAACGTCAACAGGAGAGATTCTTAGCTTGATACTTTTTCCCCTTTTCGCCGGGTATAAACTCGTGTATTTACCAAACTGAGCACAGAATAACAGAGAATCTTCAAATAACTCTCCATTTTTTTTCCATCACATATACTTACCTGTAATTGGAATGCCCTGGCTCTTTCTCCTGCAAGAACTCCTCTTGTTGAATGCAACTCCTACAGCAATGTTACAAATCAGCCAATAGTAACTTGTATCAAGTATGCAAATTGAAGTCAAACGATGCAGCATATTACCTTCTGCGTATCATCCAAGACAGCCTTGAGGAAAGCCACATCACGTTCAAGCCTTACATTGTCGGAATGAACAATGTTTGATAGGCTATTAGCCTCTTCTTGGGCTAACTCTACACTAGCTAGTTTCTCCCTAAGCAATTCCATCTCCTTTGCTGTGTCAGCCATTTTTTTCTCCACCTCCTGCCTGCTTTTAAGAACAGATGCTAAGCTTTTCTCTGCAGCTTCTCGGCTTGCCAGTGCAGCTGCAAGTTGTCCCTCAAGAATCCCGTTTTTCCTTATGAGAGTAGCCACTTTAGTTTCGTAGTAATGACAGATACTTGAAGTGGACGATGGCTCCGATTTATTGTTTTCTGGGAATGCCACATCATCAGTTTCTATTACAAGATTTCCAAGTCTTTGGTTTTGTTGTTGATTTGAAGTTCCAGATACCATCAACTGTGACTCCTCCACACTGATCTTGGCTCCGCTTGTGTTCATCTGATTTCCAGTATCATTTTGATTGATTCTGTGATCTGTTGCCTGATACATAAAAGTTTGCAGATTTCTTAAACTTTTTGTCATGAATGCTAGCATCATGCAAAATCTAGGGTAAGAATAACGATTGGAATAGCAATAAGTTTTCATGTTTACTACGACTTGAAATATTCTGGACATTACCTTGTGTGTTTCAGACTTCGATCAAAATGAAACATGAAAAAAGTCAAAAAAAGTGTCAAATATAACTAGGCATATATATTTGGAACCACATAATTAAAGTCACACATAACCAAAATAAGCCAAGTAAAAGGTCCCATAAAATGTCTCAACTATAACTAGGCATAGTGATTTGGAACGAAATAACCAATGTCTCAAACCAATTAGTCTGGGGAATATGACACCACATACTGTGAGATCGAAACATGGGGAAAACTCTACAAGATATTTATTAGGGGAATGCACAAGGAGCATCTATTATGCCGCTTTGAAAAAGTATCTAAGGTGAGGCTTCTGGGTGTCCAATATGTGTTGTATGCTAAAATGATTATTAATGAAACCGAGATTTCTCTGTCTTACCTGAGGGAAACAACCATCCACTTCTGTAGTCTTGTCTATCCTGACATCTGTGTTGTAATCTTCTTCATTATCAAATTGCCTCCGGAGAGACACATTGCAAGAGAGAGAATTGGAATCTGCGAGTAGAGACTCTGACAGAGATTTCCTCCCAGAACCATGTTCAATAACAGAAGCTAGATTTTGCCTAGCAGCAGAGTTGACTAATCGCTGAGAAGGATCGTTAGTCTGAGTAGTCAATGCAGCAGTTGATGAATGCTTGTCAAATATTATAGAACCTGGACCTTGAGTGGGAGTGGTATGTCTTCCAAGGCCTGTTCCATTTTTTTCAATTATCAACACTTCCACCTGTTCAGGTTCAAAAGGGAAAAGGTTGGAAGTTTTAACAATAACCAATTCATTCTACAACTTTTAAAGACTTTTTGCCAGACCTGATTTGATGGCTCCTTTTTGGATCCTCCAAATGCAACAAGAAAGTCCTTTTCCTTGTGCTGCACAAGTACTAGGCTGAAACCCTGGCAATGCAGAGGATCTTACGAGCACGCTTAAAAAATTTAGTTACAATAAAGCATGTATTGTCAAGCATGCTCATCATGTCTTGTGCACGAAGGAGGTGAGGTCTCAAAATGACAAAAATTATTTAAGTTGGACTCAGTGCATAGTCTAGGCCTAATATAGCATCTGGTCAAAAGTAAGGAACTACAGGTTATAACATTTGTACAGTTTAAAAAGCTTATCAGATGATAGGATCAATAAAAATTCATTTAGAGAAATCAGAAAAGCCAGGGATTTCATCAACAAGATGAAACACATCCAATCAAGGCCCAGACTTCATCATTAATCCGGGTGCGGCTTCTAAAATGAAGAACTATTTTCCACCTTGTTGGCAAAACGTTTTAATTGCTGAAGGCTAAATGGATTACATTGAAGAAAATGGCTTTTAATTAATTACAGTAAACGAAGGAACAGGAAATAATTCACCTTGCTGGTAGTGATTGAAGACGGAGGTGATGTGTTTACCACAGACCATTCACCTTTTATAATATCAAATATCAGAGTCTCCGCATATCCTATAAAATGAAGCAAGGAACTGAGATTCGTCTTTTCAAATAATGAAATTTTTGGAGTGATTGTTGAAAAAGAAATAATTGTGAAATATAACTCGTTTAAATTAATAGTATTATGCTACAGCTCAATCCATAAATAAGCGTGAACCTTAAGTGAACTGAAAATTTACTTCATAGACAATAAATTAGTTTAGAGGACGTTTTCACCTAGTTCTATTAGCAAAGTCAGT